CGAAGAGGGGCTGTCTTGAAGCTGTGATCGTAGATTTATGCAAATGGTGCGAAAAAGATTCTGTCTAGTGCTGCCATGATATAGTATAAGTCACATGACTCTCGCCGGATGAAATTATGAGTAGAAATCGAGAGAGTTACTCGATCCACTTATTCTGTTGCAATATCGCTTCATGCGTCTCCTCTTTCACCGTTTTGACAATAGGCGCCTGGTGCGGTTCTCCAAAGAATAAAACGCTCCCTTTAGAGTGTGGAGGCCGGAATTCACCACCTTAAGTTGGCCGGAAGCCGAGAGATCATAACGGGGTTTAATCACATATTCGTTTACTACACCCAATGAACAGCTCATGAGGTGTTTTCATTTTGTTTCGACTACTTAGGAGTGACCAATTAGTCTGTGAAATTAGCATTCCATAAAGAAAGCATCAGAGTATTCATAATTTTCCGCCTTATATTCGAAATGGCAGCTTATCGTGGTGGCTTATGCTATTCATCTCGTCGCCACTTTATGGCCAAGTAATTATCTTTACATACCCTTGCATAGACAACCTATTGCCCAAGAGGGTATCGGATTCTCAAAAAGAGATGCACGCATTCAATGGAGCTTTCAGCCATCAGATGTTTTGTCATTGCTCTACATAATTTATTTAGCTATTCAGTGGAGGTAGAGATAAGTCTTCGGCTTTTGCGGTCTAGGGGTTCAGTGTGCCGAGAAAAATCGCCTTTTCTGATTTGGAAGCCAGGTCGTTTTTAGCCAGGAAATGCATCCATTTGATGGAGAGAGACAAAATGTGGCCAATTTTCTGATGGTCACTTGGACGAACCCCCATGGAGGGTAAGCGCACGTTGAATTACAATTCCCAATAAATTCCTGGCTCATTAACTCTATTTTTCGCATTTAAGTATTGTGTCGAGACTAACAGTAAATCAGTAATATGAGATGTATTCATCCAATTTCGTTTAAGGTGATGAAGGACAGATAGAAGAATTTTACCGGATAAGAACAACTTTTGGGAAAGCAAGGCTATGTGAAATTCAATGGAAACGTCAGCTCTACTCATATGATTGTAGGAAAATTCTCCTCCCAGTCATTCATCACTTTCAACGAAATTCGGTGAATACATCTCATATTATTAACTCTAAACTGTACGGTGTTTTTACCCCTTAAATTATATGAGTGGCTTTCGATTCCATTAGCGGAATTCAACTTGACTAGTTGGGATTACTTATGAGACCAAGAGAAGAGGTTAGGTGAGATTCCCTGGCATTTTGAGGGTTAGTTGACTTATTTATAAACAAATTCAACTTGTGGCCCCTTAAGAACCATAATCGACTTCGGCT